CTGTAAGTTGGGCAGTGAATGAAGATGACTGTGGTGTCAGCAAAGAATACTGAATACTTGATGGATTGCCAGGAGAACAAGTCTGTATGAGAGGAGGTGCAACCAAGGTTCTCTTTAGAGGCAAAAATGGCGAAATCCAGCTGGCATACTTTGGGCATGTTGTGAGGAGGGGCTAGTCCTTGGAAAGGACATACTGGGAATGGGGAGAGGAAGGTCCTCAACAGGATGGATTGACACAGTGACAGTGGATTCAACAATAGATTCACGGGCATTGGGAGATCAGGAGGACAGTGCAGAGAAGAGCAAAGCTCTGATCTGTTACTCATAGAGTATGAGGCATAGTCGACTTGACCACACATGGCAACTACAGCAGCAACAGAATGAAGGTGACTGTGTGGAATGATCTACACGTAACTTCAGCTGTCTGCCTTAGAAATGTTCTTGTTGTATACAGTCGAGTTGTAACTGACCAATAGCTGACCCTCTGGCAGTTTTTCAGAGACAGTTAATCACGTGAGGAGCTTATCCATCCTTTTCCATGGAATGGAAGCAGCAATGGAGCAACAATGGATTCGAACAGCATGCCTTCAGGGTTGAGCACAGTTTCTTATCACCCAGCCACCAGAGATCCCTCTATCTTAGAAATAATGTTTCTTAAGTTTGAGAATTTCCTATGTAGTGCATGTTGTTGTTGTTGTTGTTAAGTGCCGTTGAGTCGCAAGCGACTCATAGCAACCCTACAAAGGAGAGTCCTCGACGCTTGGGTGCCTTTCATCCTCTCTCTAGGTTCACAGGGTTTCCGGAGGCAAGCTATTATGGACGCAGATGCCACTCCTCCTTCTACATGTAGTGCATAATGACAAAAAAAAATTTCCTTGGTATATAACGATCCTGAATCTGTTTGGAGCACTTAATGCAGAAGCACTAAAGACTAGCCTTCAACAGGAATTACACCTCAACATCAAGAAAACAAAAATCCTCCCCACTAGACTAACAGGCAGCATCATTAAAAAGATTGAAGTTGTCAACAATTTCATTTTACTTGGATCCACAGTCAACACTCAGGTAACAATAATCAAATAAAAAGATAGGCTGCATTGAGAACATCTTCTGTCAGGGACCTCTCCAGAGTGAGAAAGAGCAGGGATGTCAGTTTAAAGACTGAGGTGTGCCATGGCCTTTTCAGCTACTTCCAATGTATCTGAAAATGGACAATGAATAAAGATTACAGAAGAATCTATGCCTTTGAATTGTGGTGTTGGAGAAGAGTACTGACTTTCTCATGGGCTGCCAAAACACCTAATCTGTCTTGGAGGAAATGCAACCATAGAAATGCTCCTAAGAAAGGCAGGGATGGAGAAACTCCATTTCACATGCTTTCAGCATGTCATCAGGGAGAGCCAGGCTTTGGAAAAGGACATCAGGCTGGAAAAGGTGGACAGTCCACAAAAGAGAAGATGATCCTCAGCGAGATGAATTGACACAGTGACGAACAATGTATCTGAGCATATCAGATCTGGAGGGTGGCGCAGGATAGGGCTTGGCTCTGACCTGTTGTTCAGAGGGTCTCAGTAAGTCATAGGTGACTTTGTGGCACCTAGCAATAACAATAGCATGTCTATTTGAGGGAGCCTTTGTGGTAGCCCATGGGGAATTGTGCTGCCAACCAAAAGGCCCAGCCTCTGTGGTGGTTTGAATCCCCCAGCCCTTCTGAGGGGAAAAGATGGATTATCTCTCCTTCTGTGTGATTTACAGTCTCAGAAAGCTGCTGGAGTGTCATCTGTGAGTTGAACCAAAGTCAATGACAATGAAAGACAGAGTTAGAGGAGAGAGATATAGAGATGCGTTTGGCAAATATAAGTACCCTGTTTATATTAATAATCATAAATAGTGATTTGAATCAAAGGAAATTCTGACTCATTGGACTCCCATGCTTTTCAGAATAGCACCACATCCCATAGGCTTCGCAATGACTGTGATCTTTCAGAGTGCTGATGGCCAAATGCATCATGTATCAGGTGGCTAACCGATAAGTTGTCAGTTTAAATCCACCAGTTGCTTCTCAGAAAAAGACAGTCTTCTCCAAAAAAAGATTTACCACATTGGAAATCTGACAGCAGGTAGCTATAGAACCAGCTCAGTGGCAGTGGGTTTGGGTTCATCATTTGAAAGTACATCACCCACCCTTTTTTTGAAAGTGTTTTATATACTTTAGGAATGTTGTCCGGAGGAGCCAGGCCTTGGGAAAAGACATTATGTTTGGAAAAGGTCTCTGCCATTCCAAAATGGATTGACACTTGAGAATACTAGAGACAGTGAGAATAACATAGGGCAAGGTACATTGGGTCACTAAGAGTGATAGTCAACGCACTGACACCTATCAACAATAACTCATTGGAAATTGTTAGAACTACTAAGCTTCGAATGAGTAGGTGAGCCCTTAATTGTTTGTACCATCTCAGGTCTGTACAACAAAATACTGGCAAAATACTGTTATTTGTGTGTGATTAATCCATGTCTTTTGCTTATTCAGAAAGTGGGCAAGCAGTAACCGCAGCAGCACCTTCTAAGACAAGGTTGTTCTATTTAGCACTAAGACTCTGGGAATTGGGACTTTTTTTCCTCATACATTAATATTGCTGCTGCTTTGTGTTCAAACAACCTAAGGCCTCCCAGGTCTCAAGAAAAATCTCTCCTTTCCTCCTTGCAAGCGAAGAGGATGAGTCCCATGAGGAGTTCTCCTTCAAGAACTCAAACAACAATTTAGGGCCGTCAGTTGACTGTTAATTCCTTCATTCAGTTTGGAAACAAAAAAGCTCTATCTTCTTATGAAGACCTGTCAAGGGGAAAAAACCTCGTAGAATAAAATGCTGACCAGACTGTTTGCCTTTAAAGCCAGGGTTTGGTTTTCCTCAGTTGTGGTTGTTGTTGTTATGTGCCGTGGAGTCACCTGAGACTCATAACAATCCTATGTACAACAGCCCTAAACCCTGTTCTTTCCCTTGCCAATCTTATTGTCTACAACATGCCTATCCCCATTACCCCAGTGATGGAGTCAATTCATCTCATCGAGGGTCTTCCTCTACTGTACTGTCCCTCTCCCCTCCCAAGCATGACGTCCCTCTCTAAGGACTGATACTGCCTTGCAACATGTCCAAAGTATGTAAGACAAAGCTTCAGAATCCTTGTCTCCCACGAACAACCCAGCTTCACCCTCTCCAAGACGAACTTGTTTGTTTTCCTAGCAGTCCATGGTATATTCAATACTCTTCTCCAGCACCACAGCTCAAAGGCATTAATTCTCCCTCTTTCATCCCTAGTCATTGTTCAGCTCTCCGATGCATAGCAATTAATTGCAAAGACCATGGCCTGTATCAGGCACACCTTAGTCTCCGACTGAGATAGTTGCTCCTCAGTACCTTGTAGAGGTCTCTGACAGCCGACTTTCCCAGTGCAAATTGTCTTTTAATTTCCTGACTGGTACCAAGAGTTGATTGTAGAACTAAGCAAACTGAAGCTGTCAACAATCTCAGTCTCTTCATCATCCATCATGATGCTGCCAGTTGGCCCAGTGGTGAGAATCTTTTTCTTGATGTTGAGCTTCAATCAATATTGAAGGCTGCAGTCATTGACCATCCGCAGCAAGTGCTTCAGGTCCTCCTCAGTTTCAGCAAGCAGGGTTGTGTCATCTGCATAACGCAGGTTGTTGATGAGTCTTCCTCCAATCCTGATGCCACACTTCTCCTCGTAGAGTCCAGCCTCCCTGATAATCTGTTCTGCATATAGATTGAAAAGATATGGAGATAGGAAGCATCCCTGACACACACCTGATCAGTCATGATGTTACCTGTTGACCCAGTGGTGAGGATTTTTCCCCCCTTGATGTTGAGATGTATTCCATATTGAAGGCTGTAATCTTTGATCTTCTTCAGCAAGACCTCACTTACAGTAATAATAATTGAGTGCCTATAATATGCTAGGCCTAGAAATAATTTTTAAAAAATATCAGTTTATACTTAGGAGCTCTAGTGGCCTAGTGTCAAGAAGCTGTGCTGCAGTCACAAAGGCACACAGTTCAAGGTCAAACAGCTGCTCCCCGGGAGAAGGATGGACAATCTTGTCCCTGCGATTAACTGCTTCTAAAAACCCACTGGAGGGACAGCTGTGGGTTGGCTCTGACTCTATGGTACACAACAACAACAACAATAGAGCTTATAGGAATAAAAAGGATGAAAGAGTGGACTGTTCACAAAGGAAATCTTGTATTTGAAATCCCAACTTGCTAGCTGGACCTTGTGAGAATAAAATAGAATAATAAGCATCTGTGAACACTAACTCTGGTGTTGTTGTGTGTAATCAAGTCAGAATTGACTCATAGTTGACCCTCCAGCAGGTTTTCAGAGGTAGTTAATCACACAGGAGGAGTTTGTCCATCTTTCTCCCACAGAGCAGCTGGTGGCTTTGAACCACATGCCTTTGGGATTACAATGCAACTCCTTACTATTACGCCACCAGAGCTCCCTGGTGGCATAGTGGGTTACGTATTGGGCTGTTAAGTAAAATATCAGCAGTTCAAATCCACCAGCCATTCAAAAAGATGAAGTAGTATCCTCCCCTTGGAAATTCAATGACGTCTTGCTGTGAGTCAGAATTGGGTTTTGATGAAAACTTTATGCATTATTACTGCATGTATTCTTCTCAACACCAAATGTGAACTACACACCCATCAGGACACTAAGTCAGAGAGAGGTCTGTTAAGTTCCTCAAGATCACTCACCTAGACAGTGGCAAAGCTGAGCTTATATTTGTACCCACTAGGAGCAATTCCAAAGTTTATTCTGTTAAACACTACCCTTTCTACAGATAGAATGTAAGGAATGTACCTATGCAGTTGAATATATTTATGCATGACTTTAAAAAAAGTTTTAAAATATTCACTATGGAATTTACAAGCCTTGTATTTTAATATATCCATGAGCCATATTTTTATTTCCTGACAGGTCATGGGTTGACAGCAGTCAAAGAGAAAGCAGGGGCCACCCTGCGAATTCATGGTGCAAATTCGGGGTCTGATGAAGGGGTTCAAGCTGATGCTGAACCCCTGAAGGTGAATGAAACCCCTCAAGGTAAGGTATCCTTTGAAAGGTTTCTGGGATTTGAGATTTAGTACCTCACATGCGGACTTCGAAAGTCTCCAAGTTCAGATCAGCATTATTCCTATCTCAAAGGATTTTTTTTTTCTTTTTCTCTCTTTAGTAACAGATGTTGCCACAGACCAGAGCCCTACAGCCAGCACCCCCACATCTCCATCGTCAGGGTCTCGGGGTGTGCTGTCAGCCATCACCAATGCGGTTCAAAACACAGTATGTCCCCGCTGCTTTGCGCTTCTCCTCATCTCCCTGGGCCTTCATTTGATGTTGCTATTTACCAGTGACCTAGTTAGAACAGAGAAAGGAGGGCCTGGCGCGTAACTTTGGATTATGGCTGTATTCGACTACAGAATGGATATAACCTTGGAACCAAAATAATAAGGGCAAAATGAAACACTTCTTTTTTTTTTTTTTTAAAGTTGAAAAGAAAGTGGCTGCTTAAAAGGAACGTTTCCAGTCTGATTTAACAGCATCCTTTTCAACAAATACAAGGACAACCTGGGGTTGGAGGAGAGAGGGCTCTTTTTTAGAGCTGAGACAGCACAGTTCATTTAAAATGATTGGTGTTTCCTATTCTCAATTTGAAAAATATTTAGCACCATTCAAAGGCAAAACACCATTAAGGGGTTGGGAACAACATCGTAGAAATGTTTCTGAAGTCCCTCTCACACCCAGTCCATAGCTCCCAATTCCCACTCTCCCCTTTTGCCCCCACAAGCTTAACTTTATCCTCCAGGGTCACTGCCTTATCTCTTAAAGGAAACTTATTATCAGCAACAACAATGATAAAACCCAGCAGTTGATTCCACTTGTAGCCGGTTAGCCCTGTGCATTACAGGTTGACATGCCCCACAGGGTTTTCATGCCTGTAATCTTTTTTTTTTAAATTCTTCACTTGGAATAATATATTGTACACACTTTGTAGAAAATAGTTTAAGAATTCTATACTGCAGCAATATGAAACAACTTGTCTTTATAAATGATAATTTTACTTGTATAACTGAGCTACAGATTTATCTAAATTTTCTATAATTTGCTGCTATCGATTTCTCAAATCATATATACAATCTTTACAAAAGCAGATTGCCAGGCCTTTTTCAGCAGTATTTCTGGGGTGGGTTTGAACTCCCAACCATTAGGTTAGTCAACAACTCAACTCATTGCCATGGAGTTGGAATCAACTCATAATTGTCCCTCCAGCAGGTTTTCAGAGGCTGTAAACCACACAAGAGGAGATTGTTCTTTTCTTCTCCTACAGAGCAGCTAGTAAGGAGAAAATTGAGGTGAGGCAGCTGGTCTCTGGGGTCAAAATGAATAGCGAATTTTCTTCTACACAGAACCAACTAGCTCTAGTGATGTTGCTGGCAGGTATTGTGCTGTTCGCTCAAAGGCGGAAGGATCACTGTGAAGCAGAACAGACCAAGTGGCAGTGAATTGTTTCAAGCTTTTCTAGAGATATGGCTATGTCTCATTAATTCGTTCATTTTAAAGAAGAAGAAAGATTGGTTAGTCCTTATTGTATACCAGAAACTATGCTGTTTCTGGGCACATAAATGTCAACGAGGTGATGCAACACCAGGAAGACAGAGACAGCTCAACGGGCAAACAGTGTAGCCTGGAACAAACAGAAGCTGTGGACATACTTGTGTCTGGGCATCTCACCCAGACTTTGGGGAGCAGAGCATGTCAGAAATTATTTTTGCTCCTCCCTTGACTACTTGAAGGCACTCTGGTAGTAGAGTAGGTCAAGTATTGAGCTCCAAACCAAAAGGTCAGCAGTTCAAAACCAATAGCTAAAGGGAGCTCTCGTGGCCTTGTGCCGAGAAGCTGGGCTGCAATCCTGAAGGCATGCAGATCAAGACCGCCAACTGCTCCATGGGAGAAGGGTGGGGAATCTCCTCCCATGCCATTAACTGCCTCTGAAAACCCGCCAGAGAGCCAGCTGTGGGTCGGATCTGACGCTATGAAACGTAACAACGAAACCAATAGCTACTCCAAAGGAGAAAAAGACAGGGCAGTTTACCTCCATAAGTATTTACAGCCTCAGAGACCTGGTAGAGGGTCAATTTAAGTCAGAAGGCCTTGCCACTTGAGGACCTCCAGACCAGGGAGGGCTGCTGTTGTTAGTTGCTGTGGGCTAGACTCCAACTCTAGAAACACTGTACACAATAGATAGAAAACTTGTCCAATCTGGCACCACCCTCACAACCTCTGCTGTGGCCAAGTCCATGGTTGAAGTCTCCATGTCAGTCCATCTCATGGAAGGTCTTCCTCTCCTTCACTGAGAATGTCCTTCTCCAAGGACTCACCCTTCCTGATAACGTGCCCGTAGTGACATGACGTCTCAATCTTTGCTGCTAAGGAGCATTCTGTCTACAACTCTTCCAAGACAGATTTTTTTTGTTCCCTTGGAAGTTCATAATATATTCGATATTCTTTGCCAACATTATAATTCGAAGGTGTCAGTTCATCTTTGGTTTTTCTTATCCATTGTCCAGTACACATTGCCTTTGTTGTTGTTAGTTGCCATTGAATCAAGTACAACTCATAACAACCTTATGAACAACAGATCTACAGCCTGTCCTATCTGGCACCATCCTCATACTTTCCTGACACACTAGAGCCTATTGCAGCAGTCACTATGTCAGTTCACCTGGTTGAGGGTCTTTCTCTCCTTCACTGACCCTTGCTTTTCTGATCATCATGTCCCTCTCCAAGGAGCAGCCCCTCCTAGCAATATCCCTGAAGCATATGAAGTGAAGCCTCATCATCCCTGCCTCCAAAAAGCACTCTGGCTGCACCCTCTCCAAGACATGCTTGTTTGTTCTTTTGGCAGTCTGTGGGATGCTCAGTACTCTTCTCCAATACCACAGCTCAAAGGCATCAGTTCTTCTGTCATCCTTATTCATTGTCTAGTTCTCAGATGCATAGCAAGAGATCAGAAAGACTATGGCCTGAATCAGATGCACCTTAGTCCTCAAACTGGCATCAATACTCCTTAAAAATTTGGAGAAGTCCTAACTGCAGACTTTCCCAAGGCCATGCGTGTTCTGATTTTCTTACTGCTGGTACAAAGGGTGTTAATTGTGGATCCAAGTAAGATGAAGGTGTTAACGGTCTGGAATTAGCAAATTGTACAGCCATTCAGTTTGAAATGGACTAAACATGCAATCAAGATGCATTAATGATAATTGGTGACTAGAATGCAAAAGTATGGAACAATGAAGAAGGAAAAGTAGTTGGGAAATATGGTCTTGGTGACAAATGAAACTGGAAATAGAATTATCAGATTTTGTATTTTCAATGATTTATTCATTGCAAATACATTTTTTAAAAGACACAAATGGTGACTTGACACATGAGCCTCACCTGATGGGCTGTATAGGAATCAGATTGACTGTATTTTTAGAACAAATCATTAGAGAAGCTCCAATATCAGCAGTCAAAACCAGCAGGAGCAGACTATGGGTCAGACCATCAATTAGTCACGTGCAAGTTCAAATTGAGGCTAAAGAAAATTAAGCCCATGAAAATAAAGATATTATCTTAAATTTATTCCATCTGAATTAAAAATCATCTTGAGAATGGGTCTGAAACATTGAACACCAATGATTGAAGACTAGGTGTGTTGTGGTTCGATATAAAGGATATCATCCTTGAAAAAAGCAAAAGATCAGTACAAATACAGAAGAGAAATAAAAAACTTCAATGGATGTCAGAAGAGTCTCTAAAACTTGCACTGGAGCATCAGGAAACAAAACAAAGGCAAAACATGCTGACGTAAAATACTTAAACAGAAGCTATTAAAGGGCATCTCGAGAAGGCAAATTAAAATATTAAAAAGGAACATGCAGAGAGCTGGAATTGGAGACTGAAAAGGGAAGGACTCACTCTGTATTACTCAAACTAACAGAACTGAAAAACAAATTTAAGCCTTGAGTCACAATATTGAAAGGTGCTATTGGCAATATATTGAATGACTCAGAAAGCATCAAAAGAAGCTGGAGGGAATAAACAGAATCAAGTACCTAAAAGAACTTACTGACACTGAAAAACTTCAGGAAGTACCATATGAGCAGAAGCTAATGGTAATGAAGGAGGAAGTGGAAGCTACAGGCCCCAGGAATCGATAGGATACCCATTGACTTGTTTAAATTAACAGATGCAATCTTGGATGCACTCACCAGTCTATGCCAGAAAATTTGGAGGACAGCTATTTGGCCAACAGATTGGAAGCGGTCTATATTTGTTCCCATTCCCAAGAAAGGTGATCCAACAGGATGTGGAAACTCGAACAATATCATTAATATGACATGCAAGCAAAATACTGCTGAAGATCATGAAAAAAAAAAAAAAAAGGCTAGAACTGTACATAGATAGGGAACGGCCAGAAGTTAAAGCAGGATTTTCAGAAGAGGCTGTGGCACCATGGATATCATTGCTGATGTCAGAGGGATCCTGGCTGAAAGCAAAAAATACCAGAAGAGAAAAAAAAAAAAAAAAAGGCTAGAACTGTACATAGATAGGGAACGGCCAGAAGTTAAAGCAGGATTTTCAGAAGAGGCTGTGGCACCATGGATATCATTGCTGATGTCAGAGGGATCCTGGCTGAAAGCAAAAAATACCAGAAGAATGTCTGTTTATACCTTATTGACTATGTAAAACCATATGACTCTGTGGATCATAGCAAGCTATGGCTGACATTGAGAAGAATGGGAATCCCAGAGCACTTAATTGTGCTCAAGCAAAATTTACACCTAGACTAGGAGATTTGTGTGAACAGAGCAAGGGTTCCTGGTTTACAATTAAGAAGGAAGAGTGTCAGGGCTGTATTGTCTCTCCATATGTATCCAGTCTGTATGCTGAGCCAATTATTCAAGAAGTTGGACTCTGAATAGGAATGTGGCATCAGGATTGCAGGAAGACTCATCAATAACCTATATTATGCAGATGACACAACCTTGTTGAAAGTAAGGAGAACTTGAAGCACTTGTTGGAGAAGGTCAAAGAATACAACCTTCAATATGGATTGTATCCCAATGTCAAGAAAAAAAGATTCTTATCACTGGGCCAGTAGGCATCATCATGATAGATGGAGAAAAGATTGAAACTGTCAACAACTTCATCTTACTTGGATCCTTCTTCAACAGTCCACATTGGTAGGGTAGAAAAGCAATAAAAATGTTGTTGTTGTTGCCCTCTGGTCGACTGCCGCTCATAATGACTCTATCAAATAGCAAAGTAAGTCAAGTACCCTCATGAAAAAGATTCTAAGGTTGGAGGTAGAAAGGAGCTCTTTTGATATCTCTACTATAAGAAATAAATGCATGGCTTCTCTGAGCTACAGTACCAGACACTCCACACATTAGTACCTTCACATTCTGTGTCTCAACCTCTGTTTCCTTTGGCCCAAACTCTGGACACCCCCAGCAGGTCAGCTGTGTCTCTCTCCCATTTTATTCTCTCCTGAAATGATCCTTCTTAATTAAGATGTTAAGGGGAAAGTTAATCAAATCATGCAAGAATGTTAATTCTTTACATCTCACTGTCCTATGAAAGTACCGTAATTATTAATTTGCTCATTCACTTACTCATTACAATCAAATCACAACTGACTTGAAGCTGACCAGTGGGTTTCTGAGGCTGTAAATCACATGGCAAGAGATTGCCCACGTTTCTCCCAGATTGCTAATTAACTACACTGAAAGCAACCTTATAACCAAGCAGGAAATCACTAATCACTAATCAAGTATATTAATTCAGTGAAGTTGAATGTTGTTGTTCAGTGTCGTTGAGTCGAGTATTACTCAGCAACCCTGTGAACAGAAGTCCTGAACTCTGTCCAATCCTGTGCCATCCTCATTGTCTCTGACATACCTGAGCCCACTGCTACGGTCTTCAGTCCATCTTGTTCAGGGTCTCCCTCTTGCAAATGTACAAACCCCTTGCTTCTATTGTGTTACTTCCCACTCATAACAACCCTGTACAAACTGAACAGCCTCGTACAATTTTTAGACTAGTCTTTACAGGAGTAGATTACCTCTTCCCTCTGTAGCTGGCAGGTTTCAACAGGCAGACCTTCAGTTAACAGCCAAATGCTTGATCAGTTTGCCACCAAAGCTCCTGAAACCTGTATACCACATACAGAACAAAATCAACCCAGCTCACACTCACAAACTCATTGCTGTTGAATCAGACTGATTTCTGGCTAGTTCTTCAGCTGGTTTTCAGCTTGAACCCTCGAAGTCACTGATGGATTCAAGCCACCAAGGAAGTTAGCCGAACAACTCCCCACAGACTACACCACCAGAGCATGCCAATGTATACTCAAATGCTTTTAAAATATAATATTCATTTTATTCACACAAGGTGTAGGGGAACCTTCAGACATATGTATATTGGACTTATGCATGTGGGTGTTGCAAGATATGTGAGAAGTTCTATTGGTGAAGAATAGTTTATGGGAGTCAAACTTGGCAGTTTTAACTATTTTCTAAGGGAAAACAATGGCCAGTAAAAGCACTTACAGGGAAACAACTATGTACTTGAACCGTTTCTAAAGCAAAAGTACACAGAAAGCAACCTGCCTTAGCCCATGAATATACTAATTACAGGCATTTCTTGCTAGTGTCTGAAAATATGCAAGAACCAGCTGAAATCGCCTGAGGGGCTTCTACTCCAAGGCCCAAGATTAAAGAATTCCCTCAATTGGCAAGGGTATTTGACATTTTAATAGACTACTCTGAATAGTGCTGTTACTTGGGTTAAGAGACATTTCAAATGAAGACAGAAATTGGGTCACCTATTCATTTATGTCTTAGAAACATATCTCTTCAGACCCACAGAGTAAAATTAATCCCTAATGTACTTTGATTTTTCCCCCTATCATTTTTTAATAACATTTATGGTAGGCAGATTATACAGCATAAGCTTTTCTAAGAAAATGGGATAAAAATGGATGATGCAGCTCATGATGAGAAAAAAAAAAAGATTGTGACTTTATATTGATTTTCATCTGTGACAGTAGTGCCAGTTATAGAGAAGCTGCTGACTGCTGCAAAACAGCAAAACATAAAGCTCTCTCACCTGGCTCCCTGATCTCGTTTGCAGGGGAAAAGCGTCCTAACTGGTGGTCTCGACGCTTTGGAATTCATCGGCAAGAAGACCATGAACGTCCTTGCAGAAAGTGACCCAGGCTTCAAGCGCACCAAGACACTAATGGAGAGAACTGTTTCCTTGTCTCAGGTCCGAGGATATCCTTTCACATTTTTTCCCAGTCATATTTTAACTTAAATTCTTTTATTCATGGTTGCACATTTTCTTCCCTCCTCCCCCTCCCCCAGACCACCCTGCGATGCACCCCTTTCTCCAGACTGTTGTCATATAATGCCTAATCATATATTCCTTTCAGACAGTTCTTCCCCTCATCTGTTCTACCGTGATGTTCATCATCTAGCCTCTCTTTTTCCATTCTCTCCCCCCATGTTTGTCTTATTTTACAACAATAAATTTTACAATAATTTACAATAATGTCCTCTAGGCACCCTCATGCTGTATAGTGTTTTACAAGTTCATTTATTTTTTTTTTTTAGTGCTGCGTAATATTCTGTTGTGTGAATGTACCATCATTTTTCTCTCCAGTCATTTGTTGATGGGCACTTGGGTTGCTTCCATATCTTTTCCATTCCCTGTTGTATATAATGCAGCATCAATATGAGTATACATATGTCTGTTTGAGCCATGGCTCTGGTTGCTTTAGGGTATATATCCAGTAGTGGAATGGCTGGGTCTAATTCTATTTCCAGTTTTTTGAGAAAGCATCAGACTGCCTTCCATAATGGCTATTCCTTTTTGCATTCTCACGAGCAGTGAATGAGAATTCCAATCTCTACACAACCTTGCCAGCATTTGTTGTTTGCTGCCCTGTTGAGGAACTTTGCTATTGTTGCTGAGGTAACTGGAATTTTTAAAAAGCTTTTTCTGAATTAACTAAAGAACCTCAACTCAATGCACTGCCGTCAAGTCAGAACCAGCTGACAGTTGATCCTCTCGCGGGGGTTTTAGAGACTGTAAGATCACATTGGAGGAGTTTGCTCATCTTTCTCCCTCAGAGCTGTTGGTGGCTTCGATCTGCTGGAGAGACATTGCCTTTGGATTAACAACAAAACTACCTACAGACTATGCCGCCAGTTGTTGTTAGGCGCCATCAATTTGAATACCACTCATAACCACCTTCTGAACAACAAATCTGAATCCTGCCCTATCCTGTGCCGTCCTCACCATCTTTTCTATATTTGAGCCCATTGATAAAGTCCATTCCTTTGGTTGAGGATCTTCCTCTCATATGCTGACCCTTCAGTTTCCAAGCATGATGTCCTATTCTAAGAGCTAGCCGGTCCTAACATGTCCCCCCTAACTCTTTTGAATAGGTATTTTAAAATATATTATTTAAATGACACAAAAGGGTTGTTGTCATTGTTAAGTCCCCTCAGGTCAACTATGATTCATGGCGACCCTTTGAACAGCAGGTTGAAGCCTTGCTCTATCCCGCCTCCCGCCCCAGCCTCACGACCTTTACCATGCTCAGGCCCATTGTTGCAGACACAGTATCAATCCATCCCAGTGAGAGGGGAAATGAACTCTTCATTATACTCAATATCCTCAGCCTCTTAATTGCTTCTGCTGGAACAGCACTGTTACCAGCTTCTGATAGATGTTACAAATATCAAATAGATTTGTTGCGGGGGGCGGGGGGAACTGTGAGTAGAAAATTGACTCAGGGACACCAGCAACCTTTGCTGAAGGTGGATTAACCCAACCTTGACTTTCATCTTCGTCTAAACAGTAGTATGTTCTTCAACATTCATTTTAGAAATGCATTTTGAGTGTCTGCTATACACCAGGCACGGTTCCAAGGGCCAGAAATGCATCAACATTGTTGTTGTTGTTATGTTCCATCGAGTTGCTTGCAACTCATAGCGAACCTATGTACAAGAGCCCTAAATGCCATTCTATCCTGTGTCAACCTCACCATCTCAAACACACTCATTCCCACCACTCCACTCACAGAATTGATCCATCTCATCAAGGGTCTTCCTCTCCTGCACCGTCCCTCCACTCTCCAAAACATGATGTCCCTCTCCAAGGACCAGTCCCTCCTTGCAATATGCCCAAAGTAAGTCAGACGAAGCTTCAGAATCCTTGACTCCAGGGAGCATTCTGGCTTCACCCTCTCCAGGACAAACCTGTTTGATCCCCTAACAGTCCATGGTATATTCAACACTCTTCTCCAGCTTCACAGCTCAAAGGCATCAATTCTCTGTCATCCATATTCACTGTCCAACTCTCTGATGCATAGCACGTAGTTGTGAAGACTCTATATAGCCAGACCAGGCACACCTTAGTCTTCAGCCTGATGTTGTTGCTCTTCAGTACTCTTGAGAGGTCCCTCACAGCTGACTTCCCCAATGCAATTCGTCTCCTGATTTCATGGCTGCTACTCAGTATTAGCAGATAAAAATCCCTGCCCTGGTTGACTTTTTATTGTAGTAGGGAGAGAGAAAAAAAACAGTAAACAATATACAAATAAGTGAATTATGTAGTATTTTAGATGATCAGTGCCATGAAGCAAGAAAATGTAAGAAGCATAACGCAGGTTGTTGATGAGTCTTCCTCCAGTCCTGATGCCACATTCTTCGTCATCAAGTTCAGCCTCCCAAATATCTGTTCTGTGTATAGATTGAAAAGGTGTGGAGACAGGATACATCGCTGATGCAGTGTTTCCTTGCTGTGTTCTAATGATTGCTTCCTGATCCAAGTATAGGTTTCACATGAGCACAATCAAGTGTTTGGGATTTCTGTTCTTCTCAAGGTTAGCTACAGTTGTTGTGAACCACACAGTCAAAATACCTTTGCATAGTCAACAGGACACAGATGAATATTCCTCTGGTACTCTCTGCTTTCAGCCAAGATCCATCTAACATTGACAATGATGTCCCTAGTGCCACAGCCTCTTCTAAACTCAACTTGTATTTCTATTAATTCTCTGCTGATATACTATGCCAGTCATTTTTGGGTAATCTTCAGCAGTCTTTTGCTTGCATGTCATAGCAATGATGTTGTTCAATAGTTTCCACACTCTGTTAGATCACCATTTTTTTAATGGGAATAAACATAGATCTCTTCCAGTCAGTTGGACAGGTAGTTGTCCTCCAGATTTCTTGGCACAACCTGCTGAGAATGTCCAGGGCAGCATCTGTTTGCTAAAATATGTCAGTGGGTATTCCATCAATTCCTGGGGCCTTGCTTTTTGCCCAGTCTTTCAGAGCAGCTTGAACTTCCTCTTTCATAAGCATTGCCTCTTGATCATATGTTATTTCATAAATGCTTCTATTTCATCCAGTACTTCTTGGTACAGTGACTCTGTATACTCCTTCCGTCTTCTTTTGTTTCCTGACCTAGTGATAAGAAGATTCACTGCAATCTCAAAGGCATGTGGTTCAAATCTACCAGATGCTCCACAGGAGAAGGATGGGAAGTCTACTCCTATGTGACATACTGTCTCTGAAAACTTGCTGCAGAGTAAGCTATTAGTTGCTTCTGGTTCAACAGCACACAACAACAATATCTCTATTTCTATCTCTATCTCTATATACCTTTATCATAGAATCACTATGAGTTGCAAGTGATTCGATGGCACATAACAACATTATCTATATCTGTCTATCTATCTATCTATCTATCTATCTATCTATCTATCTATCTATCAGTCACCACTGGGCTTGGCAGCACCTTGATAGTTGGAGAAGAGATTGAGGTTATTAACAACCATAGCTTACTTGGCTCCACAATAAACACTCTTAGCACCAGCAACCAGAAATCAAAAGACAAATTGCATTGGGAAAATCTGCTGTCAGGAACCTCTCAAGAGTACTGAGAAGCAGTGATGTCAATTAGAGACTAAAGTGTGCCTTATCCAGGCCATGGTCTTTGCAATTACTTGCTATGCATCAGAGAGCTGGACAATGACTAAGAATTATAGAAGAACCGATGCCTTGGAGTTGTGTCAGAGATGAGTCTTGAACATACTGTGTGGGCTGCCAAGAAAACAAATAAGTTTGTCTTGAAGAGGTTAAGACCAAGTTTATCCTTAGAGGCTAGGATTTTGAAGTGCCATCTCACATACTTTGGGCACATGACCACGAGAGACTGGTCCTTAGAAAAAGACTTCATGCTTGGAGGGGTGGAGAGACAGCACAGGAGAGGAAGACCCTGGATGAGATGGATTGATACAGTAACTGGGGCTATGAGGGTAGGTGTTTCGGTCAGTGCGGCTGGCTCAGGGCAGGGCAGGGTTCAGAGCTGTTTTACATAGGGTCGTCATGATTCACAGGTGACTCGATGGCACATGTTGTTGTTGTTGTTATGTGTCGATGGCACATAGCAACAATAAACAACAACATTCTAGGAAGAAACTTGGGCAAAGGCCCTGTAACAGATGTGTCTGTTATAAGCAAGGGACAGCAAGGATGCTAGGTGACTGAAGGGGAGTAAATGAGCCAGGGGGAGGGTTATTGAAGATGAGGCCAGGATGGTAATAGGGAGGCACAATGGCAGATCATGAATACATTTGTAAGTTTATTGTTGATTTTACTGCTACTGAAATTAAGACATCATTGCTGGCTTTGAAAAGAGTAGCAACACAATCAGACGCATGTGTCACAAACATCACTCTAGTTACTATGATGAAACTAATCTGAATAGGGGGAGGACTAATGGCAGAGAGATCAGTTAATCTATCTAGATCCTCCAGCAGTAGATGTGAGGAGGGGATTATATGTTCAAGGGATTTACTAGAGGAAATGCTGCTGTGAGAAAAAAAATGGGGAATTTACCCAGGCGTCCTGAACGAACCATCAGAACAAGATACAAATGTGAATACAGTGAAGAAGAGAGGAAGAGAAAGCTGGGTGGAAGCATCCTGAGCCATGCAAGGAAAATGGGGAAGCCATGACAGTCTGTGAGTGGAAGTCAGTCAGCACCGGGGTGTCCAGAGCAGCTTCAGTGCTCCACCTGTACCAAGGATTGGCAGAGAATAGAGATGCGAGACCTGCCTGCAGAGCAAATAAGGGTGGATTGCCCAGCAGCAATGGGCCTTTGTGAATTCCTGTCCTGGTTTCTGTAGTTCACATTCTTGTAATCTAAACCAGAGATGATGGTGGCTCAGAACAGTGCAGCGGCCATGGGTAGTGGTGAATGTTGGATTCTGAGTGTATTTTAAAGATGACGCCAGATTTTTTGAATGTGGGCTATGAGACCACTCCCAAATTTTTGATCCCAACAACTGCTTTCAGTAGTGACAGGGAAATTGCAATTTATTTCTTACTCCACACTAAAGAATACATACTTAGAGACATTAGAAATATCCATACATGTACCACCTCGCTATTTATGAGAGTTACATGAAATACTCCGAGTAACGTGGGGCCTGGTCAGTGCCCATTTCTCAGATTTCACGATTTAAGGCTCCACAGCTTCCTATCTGACAGGAAGTCTCCCGGTCCAAGCTGCTCACTACTCTTTAAACTCATCTCCTTTTAGTTTCCTGAGGGAAAATTGAATCAGCAACCTTTGTAAAGGCAGTTCTTATTTTGGCCGCTGTAATTTCACTCTCCATTTCTGAACGGCAACAAGTCATTCCAGAGTGACATCCCCCCCGTGCTCCCATTTCATCCCATCATCGTCTGATCTATCCTGTTCTGTGAGGCTCACAGTTGGAGATGGAAGTTGTATAAAGGAAGGAAGCTGTTTCCGTGTCATCTTTATTCTATTTGACCACCTCAGAGTCCTGAGATCACCATGGGTCATTGGGTTTTATCGTGGGTGTTAAAAAAAAAAAGATTCTCAGTGGTGATTTGATTGGCCTATTTGGGAAGCTTTCAGAGCCCATGCTAATTTCATATGAAGAAAGACAGGAGAGAAAATTCTCTGTGGCTTAGAGAGTTCTTGGCTAACAGCACTGGCCAAAAAGGTGAATGCGTCTGGGAGTTTTATTGACATATAATGAAAACTACACTCCGTTCTCAGTGATCTTCCCCCTGTGATCTTATGATGGGCAGTGTATTGATTGTGCTTCCCACAGACCATAAAGAATGCTATAAATTCAATGCTCTGGTAGACTTAATGAAGAATCAAGTTAAAGTTGCTTACAATCAAAGAAAGCAAGTGCCGCAGATTGGAAGTGATTGATGGACTTGTGTGCATTTTGTTGTCCTTTTATTCAGTCAGCAATGGAGAATTTATTTATTGAATGACTACAGAGGTACTTGTGGTTGCTGTGAAGCTGAACATTGTGACATTGGTGTGTCAAGTGCAATAATGGTTAGACATGGTGGACAGTGTTTGGTGGAACTCTCCAATAAAAACAAGCTTGGAAGCAGGAATGGCATCCACCTCCGGAATAGCTTGCCTCCGGAAACCCTATGAACCTGGAGAAAGGACAAAAGTCACACAAATATTGAGTACTTTAGTTCATAGGGCCACTATGAGTCGCCTACTACTTGATGGCACTTAACAATGTGCTAAACATCCTAAGCTGTTAAACTGTTGTTATTCTTTTCCATGTAGTTTTTATCTTGCTATTTTCACTGAAATGCATCCTCTTCTTTGTATATTTTATAATGAATATAAACCCACACCCAATACCACTGAGTCATTCTAACTCATAACCACCCTCCATTGGGCTTCAAAGGCTGTAAATCCTTCAGGGATTGTCCCATCTTCTTCCAAGGAATAGTGGCTGGATTAAAACTACTGACTTTTGAGTAAATAGCAAACTTGTGCACTATGCTAATGTAATTTCTTCCAATGAACATGTTGTTGTTGTTGTTGTTGTTGTTGTTATGAGCCATCGAATCACTATTGACCCTGAACCCTGCTCTATCCTGTGCCAATTTTACTGTCTCCAACACACCTACCCTCATTACCCCAGTCACTGTATCAATCCATCTCATTGATGGTCTCCCTCTCTTTCTCCATCTCTCCACCCTTCCAAGCTCGATGTCCCTCTCCAAGGACTGATCCTTCCATGCAACATGTCCAAAGTATGTCAGATAAAGTCTCAGAATCTTTCCTTCCAAGGAGCAGGCTGGCTTCGCCCTCTCTAGGACAAACCTGTTTGTGTAAAATTAATTTCTGTCTTAATTTTTGTATTCTATTATGCTTTGTATACCTCATTGCTGTTGAGTCAGAACCAACTCATAGCTGACCCTCCAGTGGGTTTTCATAAGCTGTAAATCATACCTGTGGAGATTGCCCGTCTTTCTCCCTTAGAGCCATCAGTGGATTTGAACAGAGAGCTTAAGAATCAAATCTTGAGGCTGGCAGCACAGTACCTTAAGGACTATGGCACAGGGCTCTCTATACAGTGGCAGTTGGATCTTACTAAGCTCAACTTTTCTAGATGATGTTGTTGTTAGGTTCCATCTAGTCGAATACAACTCTGCAACCCTGTGAACAACAGCTCTGAACCTTGTCCTGTCCTGTGCCGTCCTCATAATTTCTGACGTCCTTGAGCTCATTGCTGCAGTCACTGTGTCAATCATCTCATTGTGGGTCTTCCTTTCTTTTGCTGACCCTCTATTTTCAAGCATGGTGTCCCTTTCCAAGGATAGCCCCTCCTAAAATGCCCAAAGTATATGAGTGGAAGCTTTGTCATCTTTGCCTCCAAGGAGCATTCTGGCTACACTTTCTCCAAAGCCTGTTAGTCCTTTTGGCAGTCTATGGAATGGATATTCAGTTCTCTTGGCCACTGCCACAAGTCAGTTCTCCTTCTGTCATTCTTATTCATTTTCCAGCTCTCAGATGCATAGCAAATGATTTCTAGATAGAAATAATAATAAAAGTTAGAGGAAAATTAGCAACACAGAGAAACTGGATTCATAGTTAGATTTCTGAAGACCAATCCAAGACTCTATGAGCTAACATTCTTATTTTCTATTAACATTCTGGTGATGAATCATTATGAGTTTATTCTTTCAATTTTTATTGAAGATTTTTAATAACTACCCAACACACACTTTTACGAATAATATATCTCAGCTCTAATCAGGCCAGTTTATTCCCACCCTGAAGTCTGCCTTGTTACAGGAGTTGCAACCAATCCTATCACAATAGATTGTTCTTCCTGGTATACAATGTACTAGGGAGTACTGGTGGCCTGGAGGCAAGAAGCTGCTCTGCAGTCCTGAAGGCGTGCAGTTCGAATCCACCAGTTGCTCTGCAGAAGAAGGATGTGCAGTCTACTGTGCAATTAACTGCCTCTGAAAACCCATTGGGGGGTCAGCTATGGGTCGATTCTGACTCAATGGTACACAACAACAATGACAACATACAATATACTCATGCATTATAGAAAATGTGGACATTTAGAAAATCAGAACATTAATCCCATCCATGGGGAACATCTAGTAAAAAACCACTTTTAATCTTCTGGTACATTTCTTTAGAATCTTATTCCTATGTGTGGAATTTTTACTTTTTTCCCCCCTTACACTTAAATGTGGAACTCTAAGTGTAATAGCTTATTAAAAACATTAATACCATCATTTTAAAAAAAATCATTATAAGAGTAACTGAAATCACTACCCTTCTCATATAAATTTAATCCTCCTTATCTCTCCCTAGATCTTACCCAGGAAGTGGGCCATCTGAGAATCCATCCAGGGGGCAAACATTATCTGTTTCTTGCAGATGTTACGGGAAGCCAAAGAGAAAGAGAAGCAGAGGCTGGCCCAGCAGCTCACAGCCGAGAGGACGGCTCACTATGGGCTGCTATTTGATGAGTATCAAGGTTTGTCCCACCTGGAGGCCCTGGAAATTCTGTCCAACGAAAGTGAAATCAAGGTATGCTTTGTACTGGCCTTTTGTTCATCGCCGTGTCCTTGAACATGGAGGAGAGTGAAAATGTTGCCATCTAATGCCTGTCTTTGAGACTCATTCTTATTTGGATAAGGTCACAAATATTATGCACAGATAACTGCGCAACTCTTCACCCTCTGCCCCCTATTATTTCTTGTCTGTCCTGGTCATTAGAGACCCAGGCCAAGGAGAGTCACCAGGCCCCACCTCTTGGTGCAAAAATGTGCTCAAAATCTTGGCTGTCGCTCTCCTGGCCATCTTCCTCCCTTTGGTGATGCAGTGACCAAAGTAGAAACTACCTACAAACCCACATCTTCATTCCGGCACAGTGCATACAGAGCGGCTGGTGCTTCTTTCAGACTGAAGGGTTTAAATATGTGTCCTTTATTCAGCCATCTTGTAAGTAGGGCCACAGCACAAACCCTTGGTGGTTGAATTGAATCCAGGCTGTGACAGCCTTCCATTGGGTTTCTGAGGCTGTAAATCTTAGGGGAGGAGATCTCCCCATCTTTGTCCCATTAAGCCATTTGGTGGATTCAAACCCATGGCCCTTCATTGAGCGGCCTGCTGAAAGGAAGGCTGAGCCTTCAGCAGGTCAGATTCTTCCACTGGGAGCTGAAGTTCTAGTCCGGCAAGCTCCCATACAGAACCTCAGCAGGTCTGCTCCACATTTCTCATTGCAGCTCCAAGAAAACCATGTGCAAATAGGAGAAATCAGGATGGTTTGGAGATTTTTTTTTTAAAAGAATGAATATACAGCACGGGATATGTGCATGTGACTTTTTTTGATAAACATTTGATACTTGCACAGTCACTGTTCTCAGCACACCCAGGGTGAAACTTCATCTCACCTACTTTGGGCATATTGTCAGGAGGGGCAGTCCTAGGAGAAAACCCATCATGCTGGGACAAGTGGAAGGTCAGCAGCAGAAGGGAAGACCCTCAGCAATATGGAAAGGCACCGTAACAATGGGCATGTGCGTATCAGAGATGGTAAGGAGGGAGGGAAACCTCCAAGCCTCTTGTGATAGGAAGTGGGAGCATCTGCTGAAGCTCACGAGAAAGACGGAGGTCCTCAGACAGGAAGCTGAGCCTGAGAGCAGGCCTTTGAGTGAAGAAGCAGGTTTTGGTTTGTTTTGTTTTGTTTTACTTTTCTCTAAGTGACATAGTGATTAAAAGCATTTGACTGCTAACCAAAAGTTTGGTAGTTTGAACCCACCTACCACTCTGTGGGAGAATGGTGAGGCTGTCTGCTTCTGGAAGATTCCTGTGATTCCTCAGAAAGGCCATGGGCATTTGTACTCTTGTTGTTGTTGTTGTTGTTGTTGTTGTATACTGTATAGTTGGAACTGCCCCACAGCTGACCTTCTGGTGGTTTTCAGAGGCAGTTAATTTCACAAGAGGAGACTGCCCATACTTCTCCTGTGGAGCAGCTGGTGACCTCGAACTGTGTGCCTTTGGTATTGCAGTACAGCTTCTTGCCACTAGGCCACCTGACTGGTTGACAGTGGGTTTGGGTTTGGGGGTTAACGCCTCGTTGAGGCATTCCTTGAGACCCTCTTCATCAGGGAAGGGTGGTCTCTGCAGAGTCACAGGCAACCCAGAGCCAAGCAGAAAGGAACCTCCCAAGCAGACTATACAATTGCATGCTTCTGTCTGTTTGCTTCCTTTTTTGTGATCTCTGAACCGTCAGTGGAAAGTCTGGTGGGCAAAACTGTTAAAGGAGACTTGTTTTTAAAAAGAAGTATAATGGTGTATATAGTTGATAGTGAATTGCACTGCTAACCTAAAGTCTGCTAATTCCAGTCCACCAGCTGCTCTGAGGAAGAAAAATGGGCAGTGTTCTCCCAGACAATTTACAGCTTCTGAAAACCCACTGGAAGGTCAGCTATGAGTTAGTTCTTACTTGACACCAATGACTTTTGAGTCAAACAGATGCAAGAAGGATAGTAATTAAAGGTTTTATTTAATGTATTAATTCAATGAGAGAACCAGGGAAATGTTATAACCAGTTCAAAGCAGAAGCTAAAGAATCAGGAATGGAATTGGCGTCAAGGAACATCAAAGTGGTAGTTCTGTTTTTGTTGTTCCCAGTATCCTGGAAAAGCTACAACCAGGAGAAGATAACATAGATGAATGGGACCTTCTAAGACTCAAATCCCTATGCACATCCAAAAACTTCTCCA